CATTATTAGTCAGATGGGTAATAAATTGAGGATGTGTTTCACACATTTTGTGAAACTGACTGCTGTACCATTCAGCTATGTCTGGTGCGAGAATAACATGGCCATTCGATTTTTAGAGGTGATAGAGCATTAGGGCACCCTAGACAAAAAGGAGAGAGGGAAATTAGAAAAATGGAAGGCATTTCTGATTTCTTTCAGTTGTAAGTTTTCTAAAACATTCATCACTCTCCATGGGCACTGTACAGCACAATGACCTGGGCTCAAAACCAGAACTTATCAGCTATGATCTCCAGGTTCAGAGGTGTGTCTAGTAAACAATTTTTAATGTAAGATATTTGGTATGAGAACAAAGGACCAAAATATCCCAAACTATATCTCATATACCTTCTTCAACAAAATTAATTCAATCAGCCTTCTCAAAACTACCCTGCCATAGGTTTTTATAGTAATATTGTTTACCATAATACCGGAAATTTGCCTTTACAAGCAAAGGGAATACTTGAGAGGAAATGGATGAAATGGTATTTCCAAATGCATGATATCCAGTTTGACTAAACTGCATTCACTGGTTTATCAGCTAGCTATAATATGATAACATTGTGAAACACAGAATTTCTATTAAAAACCTGTGTTTTGAGAAGCAAATATATTATCCTCCAGGTGTAATGGTTAGATGGGGTAATATAATGTTTTGTTAAGCCTTGAAACTTATTTCTGAAACACCTAGCAGAGTATCATATGTAGCTATACCTAGGACATGCACAGATTAATATAATTTCTGGCCTTTGTTGATTATTTGTTTGAAGGTGATTTGTACTTAAGATTTCAAGGAAAATTGGATTATTTAATTTGGGATTGAGAAGTATAATTAATTTTTTTTTAAAAAGTGTATATGTGAGCATCAAATATATTTTATAATTTAAGCAATAAATAGTTCACGTAAATTTTTTTAATAGATGTTTCATACTTTTTTTGTGTTTGGTTAGGTCATCTGTAGATGTTAGTTTCTACTTCATTATAGCATCAGAAATACTTTTTTGTAACACTGAAAGTAGTAGACTATATGAAAAAACACTGTCCTGAATTGTACCTAAGGTTAAATATGGTGGTATTTGGGAATGTATGTGAACAAAAGTCTGAAAGGAGGTTGATTAAATATTGATTATAAATATGTTTAAAAATCCTATCAGGGCAAAGAGATACAGTGAATCCTGACTTTAAGAAAGTCCATATTCATATTGGTTACAGGTTTCTGTTCAGACTTCACACCTGAGGATTAAAATAAAATGTGCACAGTGCACACCACTGGATAACAACAGTCTGACATTCTGAGTTACATTACAGCTGTGACAGCAAATGCAACTTGCCTTTGCCTTTGGGCACATAAATGAATTAAACTGTGGCAAACCAAGATGGTAGAATTAAAAAAGATCAAAATTGTAACAGATCTGAAAATCAAATTAGCGTTCAATCCAAGAGTAGAAAAATGTGTGCCTGCATAAATAAGGGCTATATTTCCCAGACCTTCATTATGTTTCTTTCTTTTCCTCACAAATTTTCCAATGCACAGCTTGTTTATCTAGCACAGCTGCCTCTATGGAATTTGCTTGAGGTTTATGCCTCAGGCATTGCCTCTGTGAATCCATCACATAGACATATTGATGCCCTATTTGATGGTAACAGCTGATTCTTCACCTGCAATGCATTTGTCTGTAAGAATCTCTTGAGGAAAACTGGAACTAGAATATTGAATTTGTTTTGTATAAGGAAAAAATTAATTTGTGTTAAATGAAATACGGTAAGTATTTTTAAGTACTTTTAATTCAAGTGGATAGTGTCCAAATAGATATGTAGTTTCCATGCTAAAATATTGTTTGATAGAACTGTAAAGGGCAAAAGGAGAATAGGTCACAGAAGTTCTTTCTAGCTGTCTGTTTTCAACAAGATTATGAAGGAGCTGTTTCTGACAAAAGGGTTTCCCTTTTTGGATTGAAAACTTAAAGCAGCTTAGAGAACCTGAGACACTTGAGAGAGTCGATGTTCATGTACTGCTATCATTTTAATTTTCTGTTTCCAAAGATAACCATGGAAGTGTGAATTGAGTATAAACTGATGCAGCACTGTCTGCATCAATCTGAAGACAGGCCAAAGCAATAACTCTGAGACAATTACATGATCTGTTTTTTAGGAGTATTTTTCCAGTCTTAAGCCGCAAACTAGTTATGATAACTTAAATATTAGTTTGGTTAATTCCTCCACTCTTGTTCACTGCATGCAAAAAAACCAAATTTGGATGTTTTTTGAAGGCTTCTTATGAGAGATGTTGCTCTAATAGAATTTGTGAGAGTATAAGAGTACCATTCATAAACTCTGTTTTCAAAAATAGCACACTTATGAAAACCACTGAATTTTAAAGCAAATTTCAAGTGTACCATTTCCTATGAAAACATTTGTCAAAAGGAGGACCTTGGCTTACATCTCAAAGACAGCTCGACTGTTGAAGAAGAATTGTATTTGTAAACTTCACACCAGGTATGTGCTTACCTACAACTGGATTTGAAATCTGATATGCAGAGTGTGAAGTCTTGGACCTATAAGTATTAAACTTACTAAAGTAACAAGTTTTCACTGTTTTTTACCTCAGAGATTTCTTTTCTGTGAATAGAAGACCTCAGTGTCATTGTATTGCATCTGCACTCTCTTTTACATGTGAGACCGATGTAGAACTTCCACTTAGGAGGAAATTCGGGGAATTAAAAAAGAAAAAGACATGGAGGCACTTGGTGTGGGGGATCACAAACTGCATATACTGAAATCACTGGTAAATCCTCTATGGCTGTCAAAAAGCATGGGATTTCACCCTCTATTTTTATGGAGTGGAGTGATGCACTGCACTGCCATTATGATATTACACAGGGAAGAATTTAGTTTAGAGGAAAATGGGGTATAAGTATAATCTTTTTCTTAACCTTTGTTTGAACAAGGAGTGTGTTTGCTCATTTGGGCCATATGGATAAGGGAAAAGCTGGGATCCATGTGAGCCACTAGATCCCTGGCTGGGATCCCTACAGTACAATATAAGGAGATACATTTCTGTAAATCATCATGGTCTCCCATGATCTTCTAATTTATTTTAATCTATTCTAATTTATTCTTCTCTGTCTTTGGAAACAGCTGCTTTTGTAAGCTGATTATACTGTCTGTTTAAATCCATACACTTCACAGAATCTTCTTTCTTAGTTTTAATAAAAGTGGATCATTTTGGTAAGAGATTCTCAGCTACTTTTGTGATGTTTGCACACCACATAAGCTAAGGATTCTGAGGTAGCCTTGTGATTGCAGGTCAGCGACTCCACCTACAAGCTACAGATGCAGCTGAGAGGTGATACTCCCTCCAGCAGCCTCTGTGGACAGCTGGGCTGCCAGGACAGGAGAAGAGGCTTGCATCTGCAGCAGACTCCCTAGAAACATAGTGAAAATCCCATCCAACTTAGTGAGCACGTCTTCCTGACAAGAGTTGTGTCTAGAGAGTGACTTTTTCTCGTTAGGAGGGGTAGTTTGCCGCTCATAATTAGTGTGGTTTTTTTACTGTTATTTTTCATTGTAAGGCTTGTGATTTTAGAGAGAGGAGTTAGTCAGCTAACTGCTCTATGTTCCTACGGATACCATATTGGTTTCCATTTACACTTGTATTTTCTAGTGTTTTCTGCTAATTTAGCTTAAGATGTCCTAAACAAGACTCTCCCTTGGGTGCATTTGCAAAGTTTAGTGAATCATACTGCCAGGAAGTTTCTTGTGCTATAATTTTAAATTTCCTCCTTCTCAATTTCATTCCATTACCCCAAGTATGCATTTCCTCTATTTTCCAAAAATTCCTTCCTCTTCTGTGTGTTTATACTTCTCACATACTTGTGGTAATTGTGTCAGTCCAGTTATTATTTCATTATCGTCATGCTTACCTCCTTTAACCTTTCCTTGAATCAGTTGAATTGTGTCCTTTATCAGTCCACATCTTTAGGTTATCTTAATTTGACATGATGCTTCTGATTAACAGATTCCCAGTATTTCATATTTGTATGACTCTTTTAAAATACTTATGACTCATAGACCACACAATCAGTTTAAGACAGAAGTTATCAGCTGCTGTTGTAAAAACTATTTACTATGTGTTAGTTTTATTGCAAGTTATTTACCCTTAGAGTATTTGCAGTCATGCAGAATGTCTAAGGTATATTTAAGCACTGGATAAACATATGTTTACCAGTCAACATTGCCATATTCAGATGTGCCTACATGTAGAAAGTACCATATTGCTTGATGACCTATACCTGCCATAAGGTCATATGCAGACAGCCTCTTGTATCTATGAAAGAAGTGTTACTTATTATGCTATTGACTTGCAAAGTTCCCATTATTAAACACTTCTGTGTTTTTAGTAGGTGACTTTTTGCCAGATGTTATAATGTGTACATGATAGTGCATCATATCCAAACCCTCTACCCTATTCCCAAATTGTGAATCATTAGTTAGCCTTCCAGTGTGAGTAACCTCTGTGGACAGTCTTGGTTTTTCTCCAAGTCAGAGTGGTATGGCATGTGAAAACAGAGGTTTTACATCAGTTGTTTGCTCTTAATACTTCATACATTAGGGCCTGTGCCCGGTCAGTTTACTCCTGCTGTCATGGAATTTTGGTTCACAGACACTGCATGAGCAGCAAAAATATTTTGGAACAATCCGATGCATGTGCACCCAGGTAGGAAGAATGCGGAAGACTGCTTACCAAAAAGTACTGCTACCTAAGCACCCAAAAAGTACTACCTATCTGAAAAGGGACCTGCCTGGTGAAAATATCACATAGAAATACATAGCCTATTTAGAGCAGCACATTCAAAAACACAGGTGCTATGATGATGGGCAATTCTGGAAATCCCTAAGATAGGTAGGCTCCTAAAACACAACATGTATGTTTCACAAGGCATTCTTTTGGTTTTGTTTTGTAGCCTAACAGCAGTGGTCAAGTAGTAGGGAAAGTGCCTGGCCATTTTACTCCAGTTTTGGCACCCTCTCCCCATCACAGTGCGGTGCGACCTGTGACCCTGACCATGACAGATACTAAACCCATCACTACATCCACTGAAGGTGAGGCATCTTCACCTACAGCAACCAGTAAGTATTTCTTTAGGAAACAAAAAATGTCCATCAAAGATTTGAAATTATTTCAAATTAAGGCCAGAAAAAGGCGCCTTTTCCTACTATTTGACCAAGTGGGTGCTCATCATTTTACATGGAGAGCAAACCTGGTCTGACTGCAAAGCTTTTCCTCCCAAAATTTCAACCAATAGATCATGTTACATGAACCAAAGTTTGTGACATGACAAGCAAAATGAAAGGGAAAAGCCTGCATATTTGACCACTATTCAAGAAAAAGAAAATGTGTTTTTTCATCTGAGGTGGACATTGTTAAGACATTGAGAAGCACACCCAGACAGTAAGATTTTACAATGACCCACAGATGGAATTCCAGACAAGGACTGGAAAATTTGCTCCTCAATGAACTTTCCTACAGAAATCAAACCTTGTTACAACACATACTGAATCTGAGCTATGATAATTGCATGTTAATATAGGTTGTGTCATTTTTAGTAAAAACAACTGCTGTGGCAAAAGAAAATTTTCATTCTTTGTCATTTCTACAAGGGGTGGTAGATCCACTGTATGTGCTTGTTGCTTTTTTTAAAATAGAAAGTAACAAACTCTAACTTCAATGTTTTAATCTCTTTACTACATACAGGATCATGTTATTTATCCTATTATCTTCAATGGAATTGCAGTTCTAGAAATACAGGCAAATATCTAGACCAATATCTTCCCTTCAGAGTATTCATAATAAGTGGTGCAGAATGCTGCTTTTTAACTGTGTTCTGAATTTCTGTTGTTCTTGAACTGTTATTTGGATTTGAGATGGCCATGTTGCCAGCATTTAACAGAGTCATGAAGATTTTTAGGAGACACTTCCAGATTCTTGGAAAAAAATCTTAAGTCTTTAAAGTATCAGTCTCTTTAGGATTTGTACCATTTAAATTACTTGTTCTAGATCTATTTAATATTTGAACTTCAAATACAGTCCCTAACTATTGGTCTGCCATTAATGGAGACCATAAACTATCCTTTTCAGGTGTTATACCACTTTAAAACTTTTCATTAGCATCTGAGGAAGACGTGAGACTCAAAAGCATAAGATGTAAAAGAGAAAACTGTTTTAAGCATTTATCATAAAAGGATAGTAGTAACTTTTGGAGAAACTACTGCTGAAGTATAAATATATATATATATATATATACACACACATATACATATATATATGGAAGCATTTTATCTGTCCTTTCAGTATATTAGGTTTGTTAAGAGGTCTTAAGTATAATAGTTTTGCTAGGAGTATGTCTGTAGCTTTACTGGTGATTTGTGGTACAGTTTTTTGATCTTTTAAGAAGAGTTAGCTTTAGCAGCAAAGAAAAGCTGTTGCTCTAAACATTTGCACCAGAACAGAAAACTGAGAAAATTAAATTCTTGTACAGTTACAAGTATTTGTGGTTTCATTCTACTTTAACATGATTGTGCTTGACCTGCATATCTTCTTAGATGAGGACACAGTTTCTGATAAAAATGGCAAAAAGAGCACAGTAAATGCCAGATCTGTTTTGGGATGTTTTCTGGTTATATGACCTTAATCATCACAGGAAAGCATACCTAATCTGTACATTGTCCTACTACCAAGTGAATTATTTAGATCATATTTTCCAATTAAATCATCACCCAGTTTCTTGGGCAACTCATGGGAACCTGAGTAGCTGATTCCCGCTGAACCTTTAGAACACCTTGGCTTAGATACATAAAGTAAGGCGTCCTCCATGCTTCCATATTAGTTTACAAGTAAATTCTTGCCACTACAGTACATAAATAACAATAGAAAAAATCCCTATGTGCAAATTTTATTTGAATGTGACCGTACTGCCTACAAGATAGGTATAGCACCTTACCTGCTCAGGTGTGTTATGATTCTCAGAAAACTATCTCCTTGATATAGGCTTTTGACACTGGGTTGATAACTGTAAGAGCATAAAAAAATGAAGAAATATAGCTTGTTGATGAAGAAAATAACAATAAAATGAGGGATCGTGTCCTTCTGATATATAAATTATATATGAATACGTATAAACTGTATAATCAGTCAAACTGTATTATCAGTCATAATAGGTCCACCACACAGATTACTGATGTTAACCTAATGGGAAAATCAACACTTAGCATGATTTATAGCATAGTTTTACTTTTATTTGCAGTAATTGACTGATTGATTGGTCCAAAATACATATAGTTATATATTTATATAACTTGGAAAAAAAATTATCATTATTATTCAGTGTGATGGAAATAAATTGACACATGAATTGCACTGCTTTTCATTCTGAAGTGCTGTAGCAGAATTTTTATTAATGAGAAAGAACGTCAGGCTTTACAAATAATGTTTGCGGAACCCTGTGGCCTCCATCATAATTTCCTTCCAATAATTGGTTAATTCTTATTATAGTTTTTCAATAAAGCCTATTTACTGTATATATAATTTTTAATTTTTTGAAAAATGAATACATTTTCTTGTTTTTTTACCATGTGAACTTAATATTTGCAGGCCAGTTTAGTAAGTACTCTCATCTAGCTTCTCACTGGCATGCTTGTATATGTCTGTCCAGTTTTAGTAATTTTGCTACTAAGTCATTGGTAATTTTCCAGCAAATTTCCAGACTATGATGCTACAGATTGCAGTGTGGACGTCTCCACACTGGGAGGTTGAGTAAGACCACCTAACTAATTTGATAAGTGCCACATGAGAACATAATGACTTTTAGGAATTACTGGGAGAGACCAGAGAGGAATTTGTCCTACAGGTGGAGGATCCATTCCCTGTGGCTAATCCTAGCTTCCCCTGACATTCCCTTTCTCCTCAGAAATGGATTTCTTCAATCTTCTGAAGCAGGTAGAGAGAGAATTGTTTTAGTCACTCCCCTCAGAAAATATTGTTTTCTGGTGTATGATGGGGTTGAATACTTTCTGTTATATTGCACAGTAAGAATTAGATCCCTTCTTAGGAAATTATTAATCAGATTATATCCCATTACTGCAAAAATTCATTTAATGCCACATAAGCAAACCAAAATTTTTGTTTTAATTTATGTTCTACTTTTATAGTTGTTTGGTACTTTCTTGGTAAAAACAGGGCCTTTAAAGAAATAAAAATAACGTGACATGAATATTTTCTGTCAGCATTGTAATTTTAGTGGTTTCACCGTTGCTTTAGATTGGTATAATGAAAATTAAAATTGTGGTTAGTTCAAATAAATAAACTAGGAAAAAATTTGAAAAAAATTAATCAAACCAACTACTATTGTCAAGAGACATCATTGTGATTTACACATGCAGCTTCCATTGAAGTTTATAGGAATTTACACATGCCTTTCCAAATTTGGTCTAATATTTCTTTTGCTTACTCTTAAAGAAAAGCCAAAGACACTTCCTATATATTGCAAAATCATAACTCTGGATCTCTCATATTTGTACTGTACCTGCACAAGGTAATAGATATGATAGGTTGGTATTTTTATCATTATGTTTTGTTCTTCCTTAATCAGCCTACTCAGCCACAGGCACATCCCAAGCCAATCGATATGTGGGACTAAGCCCAAGAGACCCATCCTTCCTACACCAGCAACAGGTGGGCAAGTTTCACATAGGTGTAATGATGTAGAGAAGCTTTTGTGGTGTTACCTTCCTACATGCTGCCACGGGTATCTTGGATTAGACTGAAGTCTTGAGGTTTTCAGTATTTGTCGCATGAAGATGATGTTTATTCAAAACAAATTGAATGCTTTAAGAAATATCAGTTCAGCCTATTCTTTCTTTCTTAGATTGGTCCCATCTTAATGAACTTCTGATATGTTTCTTTCAATATTTTATTTTTCAGGAGTTCATACATTTAATCTTTAATAGGATTTTAGGAAGTAGAATGAGGTGTTTAAGAAACAAATACTAATTTCAAAATCAGTTTATAAAAACAAGCAAAACTTTCAAAGCAAAATACACAGTTTATTATTTTCAAGTTTTGTTTCCATTTCCTCCAGATGTTTAACACATTTATTCATTTTACTTTTAGAAGATCAGTTGTAAAACTGAATTCTCAAGGCAGCACATCATCATTTCTAGCGTAATAGGTTTAAATTGGTCTGCTGATTCCAAATGTGACAAAAACACATTTTTATTCTAGTTTCTTACATCATTTATATTTCAAGTAGCATTTTAAATTTCACATCTCATTAATGCTGCAAATTTAATGCAAATGAAGTGTTTACCCAAACTGTGAAAATATAGAGCTGAGATTAATGACGGCATACAAATAAATTAGCTGCAGTCAGTAGCAAGGCCATGCACATACAGAAATGGTACATTTCAAAAATAAATTCAGAACCTTTAGTATTTTAATGTACTTTATGATGTGTGTTTGTGTTCTTCTTAGATGTTAACAGTATAGGACTTTGAAGTTCACAGCAATAGAAATGTTGCAAGGAGAAAAGCTGAATGTGGCAATAAGAAAGAGGGTGTTAAATAGGCTTGGTATTTGTCATACTGTATTTTTTTCTCAGGCTTGTGTTACTGTCAGCAGTTTATATGCATTTCTGTTTCATTTTTCAGTAAAAACTACCTGTTCTACATCGTTAAGATATAGCTGACCCTTGCTTCAGCTGAAACTCCCTATCCATACCCACTCACAGGGCAAGGAGGCAGTATATCCATTTTAAAGGTCACCACATGCAGAGTTTAGAGAAAATCATAAAGATGATAATTTATTCAAAATAGCTGATGCGTTGCCAACTATTTTTTTAACCAGTAAGACTTAAATTCAAACATCTATGCACTTTATTATGAAAATATGTAGTGACTATTAGTGGCTCTTCCAGCCATTAATTTCTCAATAACTTTTCTGCCATGTTGTTTTGTTGGATATTTTCAAACCTCTCAAAGATTTTTTATTATGAAATATGTTGTAATTATTATGAAATGTTTTTTTTTCAAGATACACAACATATGATTATTGTTTTTTAAAGCACACACAACACCTCTCCTTTTTATGCAGAGTGAATGTAATTTGTAGAGTTCTTGTGAAGTTTTATGCAGCGTTCTTTGAAATATCTCTCACATCCTCTTAATTTAGGGATGCGAAATATGTTTTTTCCTCCTTGTAGTTTTGGACACAATTCTTTCTGCAGACTGCTCCTGCTTAGGCCTACTCCACTTTCCAAGCTCATTGAAAGATTTCTTAATGTCTTGTCGCATGCCAGAAAGTAGTAGAAGCATATTCAATTTTGTCCTGGCTGAACTTGACATATATATTGCTGATGTTTGGCATCTTCTATTTATTTTTGTCTTTGTGTGGATCAAAATAGATTTCAAAATTTCAGCAGTGTCCTTGGAACATCAAAGTGAGAGGGATCTCAAAGGTCTTTGGTATTGACATGTGTTGTGTCTGATACTCCCTCCCATGGTATAACATGGCCAAATGGCTTAAAGGGAAGGGGAAACTAAGCTAAATCTAATATTGCACTTCAGAAGCAGAAAAATTATTTAATGCTACTGTGTTAAACCAATGTTCCCCTTTTTAAAGTGTATTGATTCATGGTCTCATTATATTAATTCAAGAGCATCAATTGGTGACCAATGAGCCGTGTAATATATTTAAAAATATTAGTGTTTTATTGTCTTTGCTCTTAACTCACTATTCTCTTCTAACATATGCAATGGACATATCTGTGTTTGCCTGAGTGTGTTTGTGTGTATGAATGCCTACAGGTGTGTAGAAAGTTAAGGACAAGTATGCCCAGCTGAAACTATCCAAAAGAACAGAAAGAATACTTAAAGTTTTTCAGATGGATAAATATGGACATATAAGTATGTATAGGTATGTTTCTAATGAATTAGTTGCCTTCACTAGTTACCTTCGTTAGTTACCTTCATCTCCAATTCTAGAGATGACAGACTATACACACACACACACACACACACAAACAAACAAACGTGTGTGCGTGTGTAGAAAGTAACGTAGAGCATTGAGATTGTCTAAACAACTTCAATAGAGCCAAGGTTATCCTTTGGTAAGGCAGAAATGGGATTGATTTACTATGTCCTTTCATTACTTTACAACAATGCAAAAGAGACCAGTCTTCTTGTGGCAGATTTTAAATGCATTTGCTTTTAAGCAACCCATGATGAATGAAAAGAAAAATCAAGGGGTATGTGAAATAAGGCGATAAATCATTTTGTATTAGTGGAGAGAAATTTTCAATTAGAAAGCCATTGGTTTTAGTTCCAGAGAAATCTTTTAAACATTCCTCCCTGTAATGCACAGTGACCCCTCAAGAATAAATATTGTCACTAGTACCTTTTTTACTTCATTGGAGGAGTCTTTATGAAGATTTATTTTCTCTGGTTATGAGGAATAATAGCAAGTACCCACGAGTGGTTTTTTTTGCTGTTAAGAAGAGCCATTATGTAGCCCATTTAAGTTGCAGTAACCACAATAAATTAAAAAGTTACACAGGTATTTTGCAACGCACACTCACATGGATTCCTGACAAAGTGATAGCTTCCTAGAAATTCCAGTAAACCATGTACAGCAAAGCATACCCTAAATACTCACATTTAGATGGGAAGCACTGAAAAAAGCTTTGAAAGACAACACATAATAAAGCCAAGTGAGAGAATTTTTTTGGCTTTTACTGATCTGGATACTGTGAAATTGTGGTGTTATATGGATTACTTAGCCTGTAACATTGATATTTAGAAAGACTAGATTCTAATGGGGAATGATAGCTATGCAGTCCACTTTCTGGTACCCTAGCTGGTGGATCTCCCCATTACTTGCCTTGAAATGCCAGCTATTTCTATGCTGTGGCATAAATAGTTACAAAAAATAACATCAGAGAATCCTATATATCTTGGCACTTTCTTGTAAAAAATTCATATCATACCTCCTCTGTCTGTTAGAAATTATTGATGACCACTTGTTTTTTCTTTTTTTTTGATTCAGCATCAGCTTCTGAGACTTGTTAAATGTTGATAACATAACTGCAGGAAGAGCACCATGGGAGAGAGCAAGGGAGATTATGAGATAGTACCTGAATGAGATAATTTTTCTTAATTTTATTGTTGGTCATTGGTGGAAGTATTTTCTAAAGCCAAATCTAATGTTCATTGTTCTTTATCTCTGCTGAGAAACATCCTAGCTAAATTAAATAAAATGAAAGTGAGGTGGGATAATCTTTGCTATTATATTGGTGCACCTTCATCCTCCTCCTCCCTATTAATTTGCATTTATTGAAGATTTCTAAGCCTAGACTAGAGGAAAAAAACAACAAACAAACCAACTGAGGAAAGTCAGTCAAATTCTGCCCTCTATAAGTGGACACAATTCCTTGCCAGATTCTAGTTGTGCCTGCATTACTTTGGCTAAGTAACTTTAATGACCAGATCATTAGTGCAGTAACAAAGTCCTAATGATCAGGATCCTCATAGCTATGTGATGACATTTCTTTAGCCTGCTTGTGTCATGGTTCTCCAACTTCATAGATTTATTATGGTATTGAAATGACAAACACTTAGAGTCAGGTCATGTTGTTTCTGGCAATAATGCTAGAAAGTTGCCAGAAATACTAGTCATATACTTTGCCTGTGTAAATAGTTTAAAAAGATAGATGGATGGATGGATGGATGGATGGATGGATGGATGGATGGATGGACGGACGGACATTTGTATTTATTGCAAGTGCAGATGCAAAAAAACAAGGTTTCTATTGGAATGAATGAAATAACTGCAAGGTTTTTGTTCTTGACCATTTAATTTTAGTGCACCTCTGGCTTTGTATGGATGACTCTATTTTTAATTAGAAAACATAAATAAATGGAATAGCTATTAAGGTTGTTAACAGTAATCTCAAAAACTTTCACTGTGTTAACTAATACTGTCCCAGTTGCTGAGGAGTTAATGAACTCTTCCGATTTTTGCACTGATAAACTCAGTATCATGGTTTTCACCAAAGCTTGCACAATCTGGGTATGATGGTATGTTGCATTCATGATTTTCACACAGATTTTAAAATTATGAGTGAGACCTTTTCAATATATATATTAGTAAGGTCTCCAAAATTTTCAGAAAACTGTAGATAGCTTTTTATTTCCTACAATGCCTTCCCTGTCTCTTCAGTAGAAATTTCTTCTTACCAGATGCATCCTTTAGCTACTGAGCTGCACAGTTCAAAATGTAGTTCCCTTCATACTATTAATCATGGAAATTGTGAACTTCAATGTCCACTGAACACAGAGTATTTGTTTACAAAATGTTTTGAGTGGATGTTAGTCTTGCATTCAGCAGCAGGCTGAAAGAAGAACACAGGCGGACTCCTAAAGAGAACTTGTCAGTAAAGTCAGGAAACAGGTTATCAACACTTAGCCTGTTCTTATTGTGTCCCTTATCATAATTGACAGTTTGACGTAAAACTGGGTCACATGATTGCCAGGGAGGTATGTAAATGGCTAAGAGGTCACCTTTCACATAAGCTTGCTGGAAAGGAAACACATTTAAAGGAAGTTTCAGTCAGAACAATGACAATATGCAAATGTTAAGTTTTATGGACTCTTCTCAACTAACAGAAGCTATAGCAGTCTCCGATTACACTTTCCTAAATACAATTCTTCTTTCACTAGCTATCACAGAAACTTGAAATGGATGTTAGTCTTAGCCATTCTTTACATACAAGGCTAAAAAATCTGCTTAAATACTAACCCCTAAAAGTCATTCATACTGTGATTAAAGATTGAGCTGTTGGGCTGTGGGGTTTTAATGTATGTGTGATTTGCATACTTAAAACACTACAGGATGGTTGTGCTTGCAAGGTGCTGTTTAAACTGTGAAGACAGCTATAGTAAAATCTAGCACTTGGGTAGAACTTCACATCAGTATGTCTCACAGCTCTGGAAGGTGCAAAACAAAATCAATTTCCTGGCTTTCTACAGAAGAGAAGCACTCAGTCTACTTCTTTGCTTGTCTCCAGGCCTGTGTCCATTTCCAAGCTTGTGTTCCCTTCCTGTAAAATGTCTGAGGTGAATGAGGGAGTTGCACTGCCTCCCAGGAGAGATGCAAGCAGTGCTTTGTGCTCTCGGCTGCTTCATGAGTGCAGCAGTGGGGCTGTATCGCAGGCATAAGGGCAGAGCCTAGGATCCAGGACTAGGAAAATGCCTGAGCTACCTGTAAGGACTCCTCATCTTCTGTAAGGCTGGGCATCCATTTCCACTTCATAATACAGACTCATCCTCTTTCTCTTGTAGTTAAATAAGAGATAAATAAGAAAATCACTGATAATTTTTTGAGTGTGGAAGATGTTATGGTAGTGAGGTTTTTGTGGCTTGCTTTGCTAAAAATCCACAGAACTGTGGACTGAAGGTCAAGTCTTTTCAGCAGCCTTCTAGGGAAGACTTTTCACCATGTCATATGTCAAGTAAGGTCATTTATTTTTCATCCATAACATACATTTGAGAAAATTAGTAATGTTTTCAGCAGCTATTAGATATGTCCTGGGGATCATTTCTTATGACTCTCTACTGATAAATGTAAGTTTTCTCAAGTAGTTTCCTGCCTCTCCTCTTCACATATCTTGCAGAGAAATACTTTTAGGGTGGCTTATAGTGGGTAAGAATGACTGTGCCTTCTCCACTCCAGCTAACACTGTGGCATGATTTTAGAGGTACCTAAGTTACTCTGAGGAGAACAAGTAGAAAGAAAGCTTTCAGTATTACTCCAGATTATACATAGCATTTTAAATACTGTAGCGAAGTGCCTTATGTCCTTCCAAAGCTTCGTATTCGTGTCATGTCTATGCACCCAAGCTTTCCCTTCTAGGCTATGTGGACATCCTTCCAGGGCATCCTCCCACTGCGCTGCTGCTGTGATCAGACTTCTTCCATCAAAAGGAGTCCAGACTTACAGAGTTCTATTAAATTCTACAGTATTTTTACCTAGAAGCCACTCAACATAAGCAAAGGATGCAGATGCAGACTTTGGAAGCGGTATTTCTAAACCTTAGACCTGCAGACATCTTTCAATAGGAGTGACTTGGGAGAGGAAGTTTTACGTGAGGGAGAGTTTAAAAAAATAAAAATTCCAGGCAGGTTAATTTTTAAAGACAATGGGGCATCTATGCGAGCCAAATGAGGAATGTGGAGCAGCAGTTTTTTACATTGGAAGGTGTATTTCAGTACAACTAATACAGCCCTGGGCTTGTCCACAGAGCCAGCTGTCATGCAAACCTGCACCTCTCCACGGTGTTGTCAGTACTGCAAGCATGGTGCAGTGAACAGCACTACAGTACTAACTGGGAGTCTCATGGGACATGAACCTTCTTATAAATGTGCATGTACATGCCTACAGATTAGGTATGAAATGTACATGTTACATTATTTTCTTCGCAGTGTTTGGCTGTATGTGAATTGAGGTACATGTGACTGTGAATAATAAGCAGCATGCCATTTCTAATATTTATGAAATATGCTTCAAAAACTTTGTCGTGCTTTCTTAATGATAAATTTAACACATAAACTGTATGTGTGGAAGGTTTTCACACAGACTGTGGGAAGAATACAGTGATATAGTGCAGAAGCTAATTTACTAAAATGCAATATATCAGTCTCTTGCTCTTTTCCCCAAATGGCAAATGCAATTAAGCTCTATATAACAAGCTAAGTGCTTGCCAGATTTTTTGAGTTATAACTAAGTGAATATAATAATTTGGTAGTGCTAAGTTTGTGATTTTAGTATATTTTTAATGGTTCTAATCAGCCACAGGTTGTTTATGCATAGATTTTATATTTTGTGAAGAAGTAAAAAAGGGGGGTGGGTGGGAGGGTTTAACCTTTTAGTCTTTTGTTTCAGCTGCAAATGAGTTTTTATAGCTAAGTTAAGAAGCTCTAAAAAATGCATTTGTAGTGAAGATGATGACATCCTTAAGGAGAATAGCAGAAATGTGTCTACTGTACATTGAATAACTGGGCTGACATATTTTATTATGTTTTCATTATTAAAATCAAGTTCAGAATCCTGTTTTGTATAGTGACTAAATCAAATGTTTACTTACCCATTTCTTTAAACATATTTAATATATTATTCACAGTTACCTCTAGCAAACTTTTAAACTGCATGTTTCCTTTTCTGGTTAATTTCATGTGGTTTAGTCATGCTTTTAATGGCCTTTAGAAGGTCCCTTGGAGTTCTTTAGATAACAAACAAGAAACAATCCCTATGAAAACATCAAAGACTAACATTTCCATTTCTCAGACCTTAACAGCAGGAAGCTTATTAGTCTAACAGCCAGACAGGGTCAGGTTTGCAATATTGTCTTGTCCTCAGCATTTGTATTTTTCAGGAAAAGACTGCAATAAATTGTGGTCCTGTGAAAACAGTTTATTGTAGTTTGTTTGCTGTAGCCTGTGCTATCTCAAGAATGTGAACATGGACAGAGAAAACGAAAATGCATTGAATGCAATTAAACTCGGCAACATTATCTTCAGAGTGTCTAATCATATATAATAGTACAGCAATTTATATAAACATGACTATACAGAGAATAAAACATATATTTTCTTCAGAAACCAGATAAGTTCACTTTCTTAAGTTTAAAAATAAGCAGCATATATTTTCAATAAATCTGCTAACACTATTGGGCAGCTGTTAAATAAACAGAGCTGCTGAGGGTTGCTTGAACAATCTGCGAAGGAAGAACTGATGATTTGGGGATCTGGGAAGAATTTGTTTCAGCTAATATTTAGTACATTTGTCTTTATATTAAAATGTAGTAAAGTATTTTAAATTCTACTTTTCTGAGTCTGAACCCTATTAGATTATTTTATCACCTCTTGCTAAGTAATACCACTTTCAGTAACACTTGATTAATAAACTTCAGTTACAAAATATCTTTACTCTTCTTAAGTGGCTAGATAACAACATAGAATTGGTGACAAATTTTTCTATAAATTGCATGTCTTCTATATTTACCAAAAAGCATGCTAGAAGGTATTGATTATATTTTACCATACTAAATACACATTATATAGAGCACTGCTTAAAAAGACAGCATAATTATTTCCTTTCTTAAAGTGTCTCACTATTGATTATTAACATTTCCTTTTATTCCAGCTCAGTTTGTAATCTAATAATGGCTAATTGTTATGTGCTACACACTAGTTACTCTTTTATGCTTTATTAATAGAGGATCATATTAAAGTGGCATTATATTAAACAAGTCTATAGGCATTTATCTCTCAAAATAAGTTATTTTTCTTTGTTTTGTTTTTTAAAGTTACTTATTGGGAAAGTAAGACTTTTGCCATGTACAGTACTAGTTTGCATGTATTCATTTAAGTACTAAAAACTGTAGTATGCTCGATCCATATCTGACTGCTAGGTTTCAATTGACAGCTGAGAATTTGTGACTGGACCATGAATCAAAACGGCAGGCATTTTTACCCCAGTGCCAGTGAGGATACATTGGGAATTACTTGGCAAAGGTAACATTTTAATTATTTCCATCCCTACACTGCCTCTAAAAAGTTGCATAGAGCGGCAATATCTGTTTTAGTGGGCCTCCAGAGTATATGTGACAGCATTATGATCAAAATATGTGTGTAACATTTCTCCTAAACACATTTAGGTTATCTTTCATGCAAGCTGGCTTTAGATGATCCCTTAATGTGACGCCTGAAATAACATCATGCTGTCCTATGCAAAGGGTGTGCAAGATCTTAGGCTTCAAAAATGTCTTTCTCTCATATTTTTGGGACCTGATTGCTAAGAGAAAGAAAACGGTGCTTTTAGAGGTATGGATGAGTATAATCATAAATGGCTGAGGTGGTGGTTGGTTTTGGGTGAAGAATAACTATATTATTCATAGAGACTTTTCTTACCAATTGGCTGGTGTAGTTTTAGGTCACTAACATATACCTGAAGGTAAGATATAAACCATCTTATTTTTCAACTAGATAACAGAAAAGTTAGGAAGGATTTACAAAAGAAGTTTCTTTTTCTATGAGCCCACCCTGTCCTCCCCCCAACAAATAAACCAAACAATAAACTTCATTAACCTTTGATATATTATTAATTTATTAGATTTTACGTCTCTTTATATTTAGTGGACTATGATAACAGCAGAAGGTGTTTATCTAAATAGGCATATAAACTAATCAACATAATTTTGATACATCAGTTTTTATCTTTTTCATGCACAGGATTATCTGCGGCACTCAATACTTAATGAGGGTTGTTCATGTAAGGCTTGTAGGTTGGGAGCCTATCAGATGAAGTCTGATAGAAGCCACTCACTCATTAAATAATTTAAAATATTTTTTAGAAATTTATGTGTACATGAAAATATATGTACTTCTGAATAATTAGTGTTAGTATGTGTGTGAGTGTAATTTATATGTAGTATATACAAAATGCCTTCTGATGCATTGTGCTGATAGTACTATGGATTGCTAGAAGTTTTGGGAGCTTTGAGTATCAACTTGGAAAGGAAATTACTGAATTTAAAAACTGGTCATGTTTAAAAATCTGAAATTTAATTTTTTCTGTATTTGTTTTTTTTTTTTCAATTTATATGAAACAATGTTTTAAATCTGAAAGAATTGTGGCAGTAAAATAAGACCTTGTAATTTCCTTCCTTTATATTAGAGAGTACAATGAAAAATTAGCTAATGGATTCACCTCATCTCCTCAAGGGCTGTGATTCACATTACAAATCCCCATCACACAGTAATTGCCAGAGTTTTCAATGTACTGCCAGGAGTGAATCCAAACCAAGCTTTTATAGCACAGAGGGGGTGATTTATTCTCCCACTACAAAGTGACATTTTTCAGGGCATTGACAGGCATTAGAAAATTACATCACAACAACCTAGCTAGGAGCATCCTCACATGGTTTTAATCAGTCGTCACTCGACCCCCCCTTAAAGCAATGCCAGTTACACTGATAGAAGCACTGTCCCTCCCAGTGTTTGCTGAATTCTGTTTTTCAGTGCCATCATACAACACCCTGGGCATAAATTGTGAAAAGAAAGGAAAAGTGGGGGAAAACACTTCTATGTGCTGGTCAAGAAAACTTTGGTGGTGAATGAAAGCCTTCTCCACGATCCATTTGCAGTTACAGACCCCACTGCTTTGCAGATCACTCCCAGAACGCTGCCTGCTACTCTGGCCCTGCCAACAAACACAGGCACTGCCAGAAGAGCCTGGGCACAAAACCTGCCGTGGGCATTTTCTTCGAGGCCTAGGCTATGCCACTTGCTCTTGGATTATGCGCAGCCTAGAAGGACAAGGAAGCAAACAGTTCTGCCTAAGCAGATGGCTTTTAGTTGTTGGATTTTTAAGGATGACATTCTTCAAATCCCACAGAGATAAGGACCTAAGAAGAGAAATTATACGTGCACAGGTTAAGGAGCTCCTTAACCTGTGCAGGTATAAAAACAAGAATATATTTAAAAAATAATTGTTGGCAGTCCCTCAGTGTTAGCTGCTCCGTCTCTACAGACACCAGGTAGCAGATATGCTCAGGTTGAAACCTTTGTTCTCAAGCATTGTTGGTGAACCACACCATGGAAGTTTGGAAAAGGTGAATGACAAAAAACTTTCTGTTATTTCTGTGTGTCTTTGTCTTACTAATAATTGCCTATCCCACCTCATGGTAGGTACAATACATAGATTTCAAATTTCTTTTTTTTTTTTTTGTTTTATTTCCTTAGAAAATTATGTGTCTGTTGGCATCTAAAAATTCAGGTATAAAACTGTAGTGGTCTGTATGCAAAGACTGAACTTTGCAGAAAAGAGAATATGAATAATACTTAACAAAAAAAGGACCAAAAAGCCACAAAAATTAGATCACTGATACAGCATTTTCGGCAAAACCAGAAGTCTTGCAGCGAAAAGTGATAACAAAAAATAGATTAATATTCTGCATAGCTGAGTTAAACATTCTAGTATCTTTAAAAGAAATACTTATATTAAACATTCAGTGAGCATCCTAAAAATCCCAAAATAAAATGGAAAAAACTCCTATCCCAGTTATTTGGTGAAGTATTTAAAAGTAGCAATTTTTACTTTTGCTCCTCATACCAAACCATCTACAGCTTTTGTTTGGATTGGTTTGATTTTTTCATTGCTCACTTGGAATATTTAGGGTACATATTCTGTTGTTATATGACTTTTTATATTTATTCATAAATGTATTTTTTTGTGTCTGCTGAAATTTGAACACCATTTAAACACATCAGTAGAAATAAACTCTCCAATAGGTTTATGATCATTTAGGTAATTTTTTTGGTGTACATAGGAAGAAGATATTCAAAATCATTAAAAAACCCCAAATCCTTATTTTTTTGATAATGGCAATTCTGTTTTCCTAGAGACGGAAGGCGAGGAAAAGCTGTGAAAATCTGTAAGGCTCATTTAGAAAAATACAGTCTCAGTCACTGTGTGAGGGCAAGAGTGTATGCAAAAAGTACATTTAAGAAAAAATGAGTGGCAAAAAGTGGGGGTGTGTGTGTGAGGCTGATAGCATGAGTTTGATCCTCAATCTAAGCCACTCATTGCACCACTGATGGTATTTCCAGTATAAATACTCATAAAAGCTGGCATGACGGGTCTCTCCTAGACCGTGTGGAATTTTTGCATGTCTTCCACAGACTGTTAACAACTTTGCATAGCCAAAGTGTACGCTTCAATTCAGCTACCAACAAATGTATTTTTATTTATATTAATATTAATTATTTTAACAATCATTCTGCGTTAACTGTTTAACATTACCTTTACCCTATCCAGGCAAATGGACTAGGCTAGAATTTCATGCTTTCATTCTGTTATCTTGACACATCAGCATAGTACAACAGCTGGCTCATTCCTGGAGATGCTGAGGGGAGCACTGTTCTCAGAGTGCTGAATTTCTTTCTCAGCTGTAGCTGTGGGGTTTTCAGCATTCCAAGCATCATTCCTCCCCCTCCCACTCCCCACTCTCCCCGCACCACTGTGTATTTATGCTAACAGTGCTGATAAGGCAATCAAATCAGGCAATCTGATTTATCAGAGATAGAAGTCGACGGGGAATTGAGAATGGATGCATATTGCTTTTGCTTTACAATATCTTGTACACAATTGGTATTGAGAAAGCATATAGCTAAAATTACACAGCCAGCAGCATGTCTGTGGAAACAATTTTGGCAAACACAGACACCTGTTAGAGCAGTAGTTCATACACTGTGACCTGTGTCCCTCCCTCATTCCTCTGCCCAGCAATGGTTTGGAATAAAAGTAGCATTTCTATACAATTCAAGAACAAAAAGGCTGAAATTTCTTGAGTGCAAAAATATTCACAGAGAGAAAATGAAATTATTTCTTATCTTTGTAAATATAAATTACTAATTCTAATAGTTTTGCACAACTCTGTAATGCGTAATAATGTACAAAACATTGTTTCCTCCCCATCCAGGCAAGCATCTTCCTAAGAAACACTTCCTAAGAACACTTCCTAAGAAATTAGTTGTATTCAAGCCAGACTTGCATGCTGCCATCCCACAGGAAATGGGTCAGCAATCCATTAAGATGCCATTAGATAATCTAATTTGGAACTTAATCTCTAAATTAACCATGCTCCATACTTGAGGCATACTTGAGAGAAAGAAAAAAAGTTTATGTTTGAATCGATAGGGGAGCCGAAGCGTGAAGAAGGCTGTTTGTTTTTTCTGTAGCTGTGGTCACGTCTCAAGCCGTCTGGTAACCAGGAGAAACCAGACATGATGTAATTCCAGATTGAACTTGAACTTCAGGGACTTAGAATGGGGGAACAATGGACCATAGGAATCAATAATGTCCATTTTCCACATGATTATGTTTGGAGCTTTAAGTTAAACTTTATGGGAGAAGCAACAAGAACTGCAGTGTGACCAAAATGAATGAGTTGATCTAGAAGCAAGATGCTAAAATAAAGAAAACAACTTCAGTAATAATTTCTGAGCAGCACTGCAGATTCCAGCAGAATTAGAAAAGTTCTTGCTCTGCAGTGAACTGGTTGCCTGTTCTGAGATCTCTTTGTTCACTTAGGTGGGACAAACTTAATCTTATGTTTCCTGTCAGATGATTTTTGGCAGCTGCTAGGGAAGGAGGAGCATATTACTGAGAATTCCCAAGTATAAACTTTATATTTAACCCCTTGGTTGCTCCAGCTTTCTACTTCCTTATCATGTTACCTCCAATTGTTTCTTTTGAATCAGCAGAACTGATTTGTTTGGGGTTTATTTTGTTTGTTTTTTGGTACAGTTAGGATCATTTGCATTATTATTTAGTCATGCTAATTTGTTAAACTTGTAGTTAATTTTTTTTTTTAATGCTAAGGTAAAAATTGTAATGGTTTGAAATGAAAATAGTGATATTTGGGAAAAGAAAAATATAGTGCAGGTGTGTAAAGTTGAGAGTTAGTTTTTCATGGGCACCCCAGTGGACTCTGGTAACCAAGCACAAGTTCTCCATGGTTTGTCTTGGCTTGGTCAGAGCCTCCTCTGTGCAAGCGCATGTTTGAAATCTGCTGTTAGTCTTGTTCCTGCACCAGATTCTCATACATGGATGGTCCAAAGCACAGCATGGAAACGCACAATTTCTCTGGGCACTCCCTCTGTTGTGGGTATCCTTTGTAAGTAATGCGTTCTGTAGCCTCCTCCTGATCTTTGTGTACCTTTTTGTGTTTCACTGCCACAAAAAGATGTTTGCAGGGAATAGAATAAATAACATTCTTATAGATTTTCCTTTTCCCTCCCGTGGGCATAAATCTTCAACTCCTCTGTCTGCTAGATGAGTGACATGTGCCTGCTAAATTGCAAAAGACATCCTAAACTAACCCGAGATACTTCATACATCTTTTGAAACAAGTGCTCAACTTGGAGGTGAAATTTGGAAGCTGTTTACGTATGGATGCCAGTTCAGAATGGTAACAGAAGTAGTCCATTAAATGGATGTTTGAAGGGTGGTTATTCTTTTGGCAGAAATGCAGCAGTGTAAATTTAACCAGGACATTAAGATGAGCAAAATTTCATTTCCAAAATTCTTATGATCCAAGTAATTTTAAATTTAAAAACTCCCGGTATTTGCGTGGGCAAGCACTTACTAGAGAGAAGTTCCTTGCTTGGTGGTTTACTACTGTCACTTCACTCAACATTGATTGAAAGGTATTTCTACCTTGTCTGTCCAAAGCCTGACTTTGCAGGCTCTTCTCTACTTTCTGTAAGCTAGCGAGTTCATGTATATGATAGTAAAGCTGCAAGAAGGAAATACTGCAGTAGATGGACTTTCTGAATGGTAAAATACTCTTACAGACTTCTGAAACTGTAAAAGAAAGAAGGTAATAATTGGTGGAAAATAAGAATATGAAAGACCTCTACATTTATTCAGGTCAGATTAGATTTATTTTTTATTGCATTTAGTTAATTGTTTAACATTATTATGGTCTTTATGTTATTATAACCTCCAAAGTGGACTGTATATACATATAATATAAGCAATACTTGTGGTCCATTCCAGTAATATTTTAATCAGAGGTTCTTGAAACAGCAATTATTATCTTTAAGAGGAAATCATGGCAGAAATCTTGATTGAATTAACATCTGGAAACTGTAATGGAAAGTGTAATGGAGAATGTTAACCCCGTAGTATACTTGCAGAATTTTCCTTTGCTGTTTGATTGCATTTGAACAGATAAATACAGGCTTTGCAGCGAAGTATCTGTCACTCCTGCTAGGATGTTCTGCAAAAAAAACCAGGGGGTGGTTTCCATGGCAGAAGCTAAGCTCTGCAATACTCAGTGAGGTCCTTTCTGAGTAGGCTGGAGAAGGCTGACGGGGACCTTGCTCTTCTGGGCAGTTAGCCTTGCTTGGCTTCATACTGGGGGAAGTGCTGGGGAGCCACAAAGCAGAGTGTGGCTCATAGAACAAATGAAAGTCCAACTAAATTTACCATAAATGAAAAGGGGGGCATGGGAATATTGGATAGACAGCCATATGCATGTAGCTTAGCAGAGCCTGTGTTGTGTGTTTGGTTATTCACAGTTGTGTTACAGCGGTTCTTGGAGCTCTGTGCTGTCACTAGGGCTGTTTTCCTCAATAGCTTTCATTCAATTTTCTTCCCTTGTCTGCAGTAAGCCCCTCATGGTGGTACCTGGACTGGGGTGGCCCAAGGTAGTTATATCCACCTGCAGTATGATAATGTTATTTTCTCAACTACACCAGAACTCATCAAGCCTCGAAAAGAGTGTCTTAGGAAATGCCAGCAAACAGAGGGAATGGGCCAGTGCAGCCAGACTCTGCCCAGTGTGTGTGCTTAGACCAGGACTTCAAGCACATCCAGAGGTGGGGAAGAGGTGGCTGTTCCAGCCCTGCAGGCAGACAGTGTGTGGCTGTCTTGGTCCCGCAGGTGCTCTGCTGCCTGCACAACAACTCTGGCAGAAGGCTTGGCTTTGAGACAAGGGGCTTTGAAACTCCTGTGAGATATGCACAGTGTTAATATGGGTGATGTATTACTCCCTAAGGATTCATAAATAGTACTGACAAATTTCTTGCAGTCTGCATTTTTGTCATGGTCATAATACGAGGTGGGAGGCTTGAAAGGTTTAAATAAACACCTATATTAAACTGTTAGGTCATATGGCAACAACGGTCATATTAGGAACCTGCTACAACTTATTTTTATTGAGCTGTTTCCATAAAAATCAAGGTCTCTGTCTGGTATTTGAAGTATCTGATAAAAATTTCACTGCAAATAATAATTTGCTTTTAGTCAGCACAGACTTGTTTCCTTCACCCACTGTAGTCTCTAGAGGGCTGGCAACTTTAAAACAAAGCAAAAAGTCAAAACTGAATTTATCCAATAATTGAAATGCACTATAAATCTTCAGAAAGATAACCTGGAGCCTGTGTGTTTAGCCTTTGCCACAGAAATTTTTTAAATAGAGTGTTGACCTCAAACAAAATTTATATTCTTTGAGTTAGTGGTCTATTTTTTGGAAGTCACTAAACACTGTAAATCCCATGTAACAGGACAGCAAAGAACTGTGCATTGTAAAACATATACTCAGACAGATCCCAAGCAAACAAATCTGACTGGGTCTTTATTTTTTATTAGTAGTTCTTATTTTTATAAATCCACATGCTTGGAGGCAATTTGCTTTGTGTCCATTATTTCAGAATTTACTTTTTAACATCACTGAAATCCAGAGAGGAAGGAACAAAAAATGCATTTTACAACAAATTGTGAAGGAAGATGAAGAATAAGTTGAAACAATTAAGCCACTTAAACAAACTTCTGGTATTAAATTTTTATTTTCTTTTTGGAACATATTCTTTTCATTATATCATCTTGGAAAAGTCTTTCAAGCATAACAAGGTTTAAGTTTTTTGTGAGTGCTTCAAGATTTGAGGTCTAACTGTGATTTCCAAATTTCAAAAGGGTTTTCATTTTCCTCCAATAGCAGATTTTTTTTTGTAATATTCAGTAGAATTAAAACAACAAAAAAATTAAACACATCTGCTGATCTTAAATTTTTGAAAACAGCAATTTTAAAAAGAGATTTTCTGAAAAATTAAGACTGCAGATTTTTACGTGTTCTTTGAGAATATACCAAACTGAAGAAAAAAACCACCTGTCTTATTGAAAAGCATTTGTACTTCAGACATTGAAAGCATTAAGATATTAATATTTATTGTATTTTCTTAATGAAATAAAATTAGTCCTTCTCCTTTGGGAATATGGTCGTTATTGAGAGAAGCAGGTCAGGAACTATTTCCACTTTTTTTGTGTGTGTAAAACATTGCATCTGAAATTAATTGCTAGGAGTTAAAATAGTAAATTAGCAAGTTTAGAGAGGTAAGTATTTTCAAACAGAAGTAAATTACAGAAGCCCTTTGTATTTTTTTAATTAGAAAGACCTGAGAAACATGTTCCCTGGAATTCACCAAATAAGTTGACCACTTTTCAGCAACTGAAATGATCACAAAAGGCTGCCCAATGAAATGTAATTATGTCATGAACATTGGAAATAGATAAAAAAGGTCAATTTTCCTCTTTATACCTGATGCCATAAAAGCACATCTGCTGGTCCAGGGAGAGAGCAGTGAAGAAATGGGCCAAAAAATATAGAAGGAAGAAAACTTTTTGCCTCTGCAATACACACGTTGAAGGGCTTCAGATGTGTTATCAGGAAGCTTGTCAACCTAATCCCAGAATATAATTCGAAATAAGCACTTATGTTTGATATAAACAGTGGAAAAGCTCAATGCAATGAAATACAGAGGAAGGGTGGGTTTGCATGCTGTATGTCCAGTGCTGGTATTAGCTCTTTGGCAATGATGCCGACTTGATGAGGCTGTTTTTCTTCTGAATAAATGTGACAAAACTTTCTCTGAAGTCATAGAATCATATAGCTTAGGATAGTTTGGTTTGGACTTCTGGGTTGGCAGAACCACATCTAAGGAAAGGGCTGCTCAGGCTACTGGATACTGAACACAGCAGATGAGACCATCTTTGAGTATCCATCCATCTTGCAAGTACTGCTGATTGGTGCCTGATGAACCTGTGAATGCCATTGGGACTTGAGCTCCTTTCTGACAGAGTTCTGTCAGAACATAAAAATCCTCTGTTCTTATGGGCATCCTTAAATCTCAGAGGCCCATCTTGGGATGGTGACAAGATAAAATGATGTGTTGTAAGAGTGGAGGAAATCTCATAGGATGCTGAACTACTGAATCTTTATGCTGTATTCTTGAAAAAAGAACATCTGTACCCTGTGGTATATTTCACTAGCTCTTAAATGATATCTATTGCACTATGTAGTTTCATTCGTATGGTTTAGTTGTGTCTCCTCTATATATTTGTATATGACATTTTTGGGGGGTTTCATAAACAAACAGACCACTTAGTGTAACTCAGGAATCATACAAATTGCTACTGAGTTCAAAACAATTATTTTTCTTTCAAACAACTCATACTTTCACAAAGAAAACTAGGAAGTAGAATCTCAAGTTACATTCACAAATTTTCTTTCCAGCTTTATCTTAAGTAGAGCTATTATTAATGAGTATTAACTGGACCTTGATTCAAATTCATTGTATACATGTTTAATATTTTTTTCTTTCTCTCTCTTTCCCTCCTTGTCTCTTTCCCCTTTTCAACAGTCCTGGTACCTGGGCTAGCTTGGTTCCTTTCCAAGTATCAAATAGGACACCGATCCTGCCAACAAATGTCCCAAATTATGGTTTGAACATAATTGGAGAGCCTTTCCTTCAAGCAGAAACAAGCAACTGAGGGAAAAAAATTAAAAGCAAAATTAAAAAAAAAAAAAGCAAAAAGGAAAAAGAAAAGAAGAAAGTATGAGAAAAGAACCTGAAGAAAGAAGAACAAAAATAGACCAGCAATTGCAGCTCTTACAATCACTAATTCTCTTATGGTTGAAACTGAAATGATTCACAAAGGGTCGATGATATTTCACTGATGAGTAGAATGCAGCTCCTCCTAAGTAGCCTTTGTTATATGAAGTCCGCTGGGAAATAGATGTTCTGTCTCTGACAATATATTTTAACTGACTTTCTAGATGCCTTAATATTTGCATGATAAGCTAGTTCTGTTGGTTTAGTATTCTTGTTGTTTACGCATGAGATCACTATTCCTGGTTATCTCACAAAACAAAGGCTAGGCAGCGACAGCAGAGCTGCAGGAGGACAAGGGCCGTGAGCCAGACATTTTCTCAACAGTCTGATTTCTAAATGTTTTAAAAATAAGCTCTGTAGCCTTTAGTTATCAGTATGGATTTATTAAACTTTGGCCCTTAATTCAGCCTTTTTCTAGTGTGTTATGCAGTTAAAATTTTCAATCAGTATGAACACACAGACTCTATGGAAGAAATGCCTCTACGCAGGTAAAAGTGTTATCTTCTCATGCAACAGTAAAAAAAGAAAAAAAAGTGACGTTTTCCCCAGTAAAGAAACACTAACAGAGGCAAGTGCAATTTAAAAATCATATCTAAGAGGTCATCACTATAAGTCCTTCAGCCCTTGGACTCTAAATTGAGGGGATTAAAAATAGAAAATTACTTTCAACAAACTTATTTTTCCCCTCGGTTTTTGAGGGCATTAAAAGGCATTAAGTCAAGACAAATCACGTCCTTGAGAGTAAGAAATCAATGGAAACACAGCACTTATGTTGGTTTAGCTGCTGCCTCCACAGAGGGGTAGGATTTATTTATTTAAAGTTACTTGTTGCATCAAGAACCCATAGGGTTTACATGTTTCTGTAAAATCTACATCATAGAGACAAAGACATAGGCAAATCCATGTCACAAGGGCAAAGCTTACCGTTTACAAACTGGTAATACCAGGATGGGGATATGTTGTATTTAAATAATGCACTCTTAATGTAAGTCTAATTACAGGGTGCTGTAAACTTGCATGGTGCTTTCAGAAGTTAGCCTTGTTCAACAATTTTCACATATTGACAGAAATATAATGTGCATGGGCAGACATTTTGCCTCTATGTCTCTTTAAAAATTTAAAATACTCTTTCCAGTAATCCTAATTTGCACGAAGATATAATGTCCACATTACGTGCCTTGCCTTGAAATCTAAAAAATGGAAAAAAAGAAAAAAAGAAAAAAAAACTACAAAAAAATTGACATCACTACACTTGTTTTGCTGCATTTATTATAATTTTAAATCTTTACCATTTTTATGACAAAATATTTTGTACTCCAGATGCGAAAAATGTGTGACATCATGGATTTTTTAGACAGTTATACCTTTATCTCACATTTATAGAGCATATCATGGCTGTGTATAGTTGCCGCTTAAGAATTGTAATCGACCAGCAATATTTTCAGTATTTTGGTGTTTTTTCTATTAACCTTTCATGTTTTTCATCTTCCAATTAATATTGGGGGGAGGGGATACAAATTTATACGAATTATGCAATACCAAGTTTTGCCTATGTAGGTAGTGCTTTTAGCTGTATTGGTTATTATAGGTAAGTACACAGATTTAAAAAAAAAAAAATAATGTATGCTTTTTTTGTTTGTTTTAATTGACCAAAGTGGGTACTGCTATTTTTGCAGTGTGATGAGGTCCTTTTCTGTACTGAGAGGTGGACAGGGGATTTTTTTTTATACATACATATATATATATTCTGGGGTGGGGGGGGGAGGATTTTTAACACTTTACAGTGTAGCTGTGAAGCAGTGCACCCTTAGCCAGGCAAGGGCTGCAAAGCAACTGTTCTGCCTACTGTGACAAACTTTCAAATAGGTTCCCTCTTTTTAACTTCCCACCTGGGGTGCAAGCTGAAATCATTTCTGGATTTAAAAAATAAATAATGAATTCTGTTGGAGGCAGACTTGACTTGAGGAAATTGTTTTACTTCAAGGTTTTTTTCAAGAGAGAGAGAGACAGACAGAGAAAGAGGTCAAGACCCACAGTGAGATGAAGTCTTTTCCATTCTGGCAAAGATAATGCATCCTGAAGTGTTCACGTTAGAAAATGTTTTTAGCTCAGAATGACAACGATGTTTGCTTTGTCTAGGAAATGCAAGTACAGGGCCAAAATCTTTGCTGGCATAATTCCACTGACTCCAGTGGACTCTGGAGATGCTCAAGCAGAGAATTTGCCCCCCTTATTCTGCTTGACTTTTTTTCCTGTACATAATTTTTTTTATATTCCACTCCCCTCTTGCCCCGCCAATTCAAATTCAGTATTTGAATTACTGATCAGGCTATGTCAGAAGTTTGCAGTCTTCTCATAGAGATTGGATGGAGACCTCTGGGGTGTAGTGGAGAAGGAGTTTCTTTACGCAAGGAATTAGACCACGGTGGAAATAAAAGTGTGTTTCCAGTAAGATCTCATTTTGCAGACCAGTAATGGGCCTGTTGCTGGTGATCTCTTACACACAGGAGATCTCTGCAATGTATGGCTCGACACAGGGTGAAGCTTTCTTTAAAGCACAGTCTTCTACTAGGGTGGAAGCAGAGGAGCGTATAGTCACGCGGATGGGAAAATTCATCCCTTTGCAGTCGCCTCTGCGTTTGGGAGGTTTTCCTACCCTGGAGCAGTGCCAGAGGCACAACTCCAGCAGCAGCCACCCCAATGGGCCCAGGTTGGGGTGTACCACCACCAGTCCCTTCTGGCTCCAGCTGTCGTTAAGAGCAGTAGTGGTGCCACATCCCCATGTCTCCAGGAGGACAGAGTGTGCAGGCAGAGCTTGAATGGCTACAGAGATGGGAATTGTAGGAAAATAAACTTTGAGATTTAGCTAAACTGGAAAAACAAAACCAAGAAAGAAACAGATAAGACACAGACACAAAAAGAAATTTAAGGTTCTTTGGTTCTCTTTCAGAACCCTTCAGTAAGTAAATTTATTTGCTAAGCACATGGCAAAGTCTGCTAGACCCAAATACAACGTGCCTCAGGCCTTGGCCTGGTAAAACAAATTATGTATTGTCCTTTACACATGTCATGATGCCGAGCAGTCTGGGAGCAGAGCTGTGCTGATGGCATATCCTTGATTAGTTCCATTAAAAAGGTGTTCTCTGGAAGCTTTTAATACCCCACTGGGACAAAACTGGAACAAGTTCAGGCTTCAACATGAAATATCCAGAATGGTAATTGCCTTTTGTAGGAAGAAAGATGCCCTTAACGGATTTTTTTTTTTTTTTAATCTGGCCTTCTGTATAAAAAAATTTGAGCTTAAAGATGCAATTTTTCAGAGAAGCAAACTCCTTCTTTAAACTGGGTTATTCAGCAACTGTGGGTTTTTGTCACCTGCCTCTCTAATAGAAAAGCCTGCTTGGAAGATAATGAGATTTTCATTTACTCTATGCTTGGTTTTAGTTTGGCTTTGTTGGTTGGTTTTTTTTTTAAGCTCAGTAGTCAAAAGATTAAGATAAGATTGAGAACTCAAATCCAGTCTCTGGCCTCCTCCTTCACCAGGAAGTGTATTCTGACTAAATTGAGCCACCCCGTTCTATGTGCACTGTTCTGCCTTTATTAAGTTGCTTTGCAGCCCTGGCCTCATGGCTGTGCCACTGAAGTGTGTTTCCCCTGGAGTGACATGAACGCTTGAGGCTTGACTAAGGAAAAAAAAAGGCAGTGAAGGAGACTGTACATAAAGACATGGCAAAAATATTAATTATAGCAATATAGTTGTGGGGTGATGTTCAGGTGGGCAGCTCCATTGAAAATATGTGAATGAGTTTGTGAAGCTGCAAGTAGCAAGAAGAAAGGATGATCTTCTGACTAAACCGCCTACCTTGTAGACAGTAATTTGTACACTGTATAGTTTTGTTAAGAATTTTTTTTTTAATTAAAATACCCTTGTTTGTAAAGCTAACTTTTTAACAATTATAATGGAAATGCGTTTCCATTTTTAAACAAGAATATTCTTTGTTTAGAAACTGGACTTGGGTTAAAACTCTCCAGTTTCTTAATTTATGTATTAAAAAAAATCTGTCCATGTTAGGAGTTATTTCGCATATTCCTATGCTTGAAAAGCATAGGTTACTAATCCTTTAAAAATGTAAATGGAGAAAATTATATTTTATGAAGGTTATTTTGTTGTATTTAGTATTGGAAAAGTTGGTTTTCAGAGCATTTCAAAATGTTGGAAGCACCACTGTCTTTTTTTATTAGTATATATGGCCTTTAGCAAAAGTTTTTGTGATTGCTACATGATGGTATTTAAGATTAGGTTCACAGAGCTATTCAGGATAGGCAGAGAGCTAAAATAGTACTTAAGTCTCACACAGCTGTGTCCTCAGGGAGCAGAATTTTGGATTTGCAACTTGTAGCTTCATAAGGACTTAATGAAAGAGATTGCACAAAGACATCTGTGACACCAGAGTGTGTTCTGTACCTAAACCTAAATTATATGTACTGTGTGAGATTATGAAGGCTGCAGAAAGTTTTCCCATATTCAGTGTACTGTTTTCACTTTTAATGAAAAACTCTCTAATGTTGCTGGCAGTAAGGCCCCAAGCATGACATCCTCTATGGTTTACATGATCCTGTCAAGGTCTTTTGTTAACATTAACCAGCTGTATGCTCCTGGATTTTTTTTTATTGGGTTTCTATAGAAAACTTTAGGGGAAAAAAAAGAGAGTAAAATCCCGTGCCAGCTAACCAAGTTAAACTGGAAAGGCTCAAAGCTGAATATTCTTCTCCATACTGAAGGAGCTGAAAACCACCTCCTTCTTATTTGCACTTTCTGCTAGTTCCCCAGTTTTATTAATTCCTCAAAATTGTGCGGGTGTGGTGGAGCACTGCAGTTGGAGGATAACATGGACCACTGATTTTGCCCTTTAACCCTGCACAATGACCTTTGCATCAGCCAAACTTATTGCCATGACAACTCTTTGTACTGTTTCCATGCCACAGCTCTGTTGGTCACGTTGTCAATAGTAAAGGGGACAAGTTGGAGACGGTCAATTTTTACTTTTTTTTTGTCGCAATTTTTTCTTCAATGGTTGTAAGTAGTTGTTTGGTTTTTTTTTTTTTTTATGATAAAAGGGTTCACTAGTTAGTACTCTTTAGAAATATCTGTGTGTTGCAATTCAGATGTATGTTGAATTTGTGAAAAGGGCTTCAGTGCCACTAGCATCATGAATAGAATAAGCCTTTGATACTTTCATTGCATGATACCGTAACAGTAAAACAAAAGGTGGCCTAAATAAACGGAGAGCAGTGTGAGCTAGTGACACTAAAGCTAGTCTTTGTATTACTGTATTTTTGACAGAATGATTTTGAAAACTGTGCTACAGGGACTGATGTGGCAAATGTATCTCTATATGCAGAAGGAAGTTTTTTAAGAAGTATGGCTTATTATGCATTTTTCATTGAGGGCATTGAAGTTGCATGGACTGATAGAAGTTGATACAAAATGAGAAAGAAACAAAAACCAGCAAAATGTTTACCAAAAACTCAAACAAATGAGCAGTGCCTGTTCAATTTCACAGTCTCTGTTGAGTTCAGTTGTAAATATGTTTCAGATAACATTTTCTTCAAAAATAATCTCTACAACATTGTAGAATGTGAGGGGTTCCTCAGTCCCAGGCATAGGCTTCTCAAGAGCTGCATTAGATTATGTCTTCATCAAGCTGTTAATTTGTGCTTATATCATATAGAACTTTTAGTAATCTGGGAAGAGGCACCCCATCTCAATGATATTTCTCTGAGAAAACTTTTGTAGGGCTGTGTGTTTCTTTAGATACATTTAGTACAACTGTAGGTGACAAGTAGTCAGTTATTGCTTGCTAGCTACATACCAGGGTTGATCCATTTTAAAACTTTTGGCATTTTTTCCCATATTGTAGGCCATAAATCCTGAAGGTTACATTTTAATTAAAAAGAAGGTGCGTGCAGAGTCTTTGTGTAATGAACCTTCACTAGTAGGATGCATTACAGTACAGCTACTTAATTTTGGAATTAGAGCCCTCTGGCATCAGACCTGATTTTAGCCTGAGTGTTAACAAAGGTTTTTATTGTGCCTGGTTGGAGGATAAAGTGTTCTTTCTGGTACTTTTTTTTTTTTAGGTTACAAATGAACTCAACTGCCACAAGTTTTAAACTGGTGTAAATCAAGCTTGACTTAATGTGATTGTTACTGTTATATCCAGCCTATACTGCTAGCAGCTGCTCATACTGCAGTCAATTACTGGAAGCGGATATATTTCCTATGCAAAAACTGTTTAAACAATAAAAATGAGCTATGCTACAAACCTGGCCTTATGTTTTCTTTTCTGTCTCTAAAAGTCATAATTGGGAATATCTTAGGAACAAACCTAAAACCTTGTAGCTTGATAGCATGGCAAAACTTACAGAATTCTGTGTATACTTAGTTTAGATTTACATATTTGTTTGCACACATTTGGGCTTAACTTACTTACACTGAAAATGGAGGAAAACAAGAGCAAAAGGAGATGCAATCAGGTAATCAGCTCAATTTAAATTTTACATTTAGTTTTCATCATATTCAACTAACCCTAGTAATTATACAGGTGATCTTGATGCCTAATCGATTTTTTTCTTTTATATACTGTTCAGAAATATTTGTAGCTCTGTAGCTTATTATGGTATAACTATATAGATTTGTGCTAGTAGGTTTCCTATCCTGTTTGACAGAAAGACAAACTACATTCCTAGGCCCCTGTCCTATCTTCCTTCTGAGAACGAAGGTCAGGACACTGTCCCACAAACAGCTAGCAAGGAAAGGAGGCTTCTGAAGAGGGTAGAACCAAAAGGGGGAATTACCTCAACACCCGTGTTTCTAACTGGGGATTCTTGTCAATTATGCTGATTTTCTAAACTTATAGAACTGTATTTCCTCTGTGTCATATATGCATTTTTGGCATATTTTTGGCGTTTATTTCAGCATTTTACCTGACGGGGCCTTTCATAGAAAGTAGCTGCATTTTTATCACCTAATTGTATCTAGCTCATGATTTCAGGGAGCAGAAAAAGGCATCAATCTGAACTGCATCTCCTGTGATGTAAAATTAGGCATGATAGCAGAAGGTCAGGAGACCTCTGTTTTGTTTTAATGTTATTGATTTGTGACAGGCAGTCAATCCTTGATTTCTTAACCATCTTCATGATTACATTTTTGTTGAATAAAACCAGGAAGATCCAATCTTCCCAAAATTCTTCCTGAAACCAGGAATCTTTATGTTAGGTCAAGATCTTTCAACTCTACAAAAGAACTATTTTT